TTCTTCCCCTCCCCCTGCACCCCCTGCCCCTCCCCTCGTGGCCGACCTGCGTGGGCTGACTCTGGTGTCGGCCTCCGGCGATGAGGGGAGAAGTGGGGCGTCGCCTGTGGCGCCGACCAAGAGCATCGCCGGCGGCCGACGTGGCGCCAAGCAAGTCGGCGTGGGAGTCAAGTCGACGCCGACAGCGGCCAGAGGAGGTGCAGCCGACCCTGGTGAAGCCGGCGAAGGAGACATCAGCAGGGCAGCAGCCGACAGGGGAGCAGGCAGCAGCGACGCCGATTAAGGAGCAATCGGCAGGGGAGCCGACCGCAAGGGAGAAGTCGGCTGGGACGCCGACTGAGATGCAGCAGGACGCTGAGGGCAGCGACGCCGGTGATGATGGAGGGGACGCCGAGGAGGCTCAGCCTGGACCACGGTGTACAGGCCGACTTCAGAGGCCGCCCGACTTCTATGTACCGGCTGTCAACGGGAGTTGTGTTTGGCCCCGTCCTCGCTTGGGCGGAGCCGACCGTGGGAGCCACGAAATCGCAGTGGCCCGTGGCACCCACGAAATCGCAGTGGCCCGTGGCAGCCACGAAATTGCAGTGGCCCGTGGCAGCCACGAAATCGCAGTGGCCCGTGGCAGCCACGAAATCGCAGTGGCCCGTGGGAGCCACGAAATCGCAGTGGAGGACCGCGGTGGCCGAGAAACCGCGGGAGGACCGCGAAATACCCGGTCAACCAGGATACCCGGGCGACGTGCGCGAAAGTCGCCGGGGATGTTGTCTGCGAGGACGACCTCGGGGGTGGTATCCCGAGGTCGACGTGGCTGGTGGGCGCCGTCACGGGTGAAGTGTCTGCGCTGGGCATGTGACGGTTCTGGGAGTGCTGAGTCAGGGGGTGCCGGTTCTGGGGGTGCTGACACTAGGGGTGCTAGAGCTGCTGGTGCTGGAGGTGCTGGAGCTGCTGGTGCTGGAGGTGTTGGAGGTGCTGGAGGTGGAGGTGCTGGAGGTGCTGCTGGTGCTGGAGGTGCTGGAGGTGCTGCTGGTGCTGGAGGTGCTGGAGCTGGAGATGCTGGAGGTGCTGGAGCTACTGGTGCTGGAGGTGCTGGAGTTACATGTGCTGGAGGTGCTGAAGGTGTTGGAGCTACTGGTGCTGGAGGTGCTGGAGGTGCTGGTGGTGGAGGTGCTGGAGGTGCTAGAGCTGCTGGTGGTGGAGGTGCTAGAGCTGGAGGTGCTAGAGCTGGACCTGCTGGTGCTGGAGGTGCTGGAGCTGGAGGTACTGGGGGTGCTGGAGCTGGAGGTGCTGGAGCTGCTGACGGTACGGGTACTTCCCCGCGCCGACAGATTTTCTACCCGCAGCCGCAGTCGTCCCTGCCACCGCCTGACTTGGTCCTTCGCCAGGTTCTTAGTCTCCCGTCTTCCACTGGCCTCACTCCACCTCTCCTGTATCCACCGACAGACCAGTCTTAGCCACAGCTACTGCCTGGCTCCCCGCTGCCTGCTCCTGCTCCTCACACTGAGGTGACTGAGTCCCTGACTGCGCGTCGTAAGCCTGAGACTCGTGCTTCCACACCTGTTCGTGCTCGTCGTGTCGCACGTCCTCGTCCTCCTGTTGTCCCAAGCACTCACGGTATGGCACTTCGTCCTTCCTCTGTTCCACAGTGTGTTGCCCTGCCGTCTCCTCCGGCGTCCTCTCTTCCTGACGTTCCTGACCCTGAGTCCGACCTTGCTCGTGCTGCTAGTCTTACTGTCACTCGTCTCCTCGCTACTGTCGTCACTTACCCTGACTTTGAGTCTACTGATGCGTGTGCCCTAGTCACTAAGTTAGTCGACTTGACTGCTAGGAGTCGTCTCAACTACGTCGCGAGTCTTGTTACTGAGTATGAGTCTGTTTGTCCTCCGTCCGTCGGGGGTGAGCTTGCACTTGGCTGTGACGTCCTTGAGGACAGACAGTTTGAGCTTGAGTGTCTCGCGGCCGCTTCACCTCGTTTCACGTCCATGCTGCTTTGCCCTGAAGGAGACCCGGATGCACTTGACATCCCCACCCCGCGCTCTTACGCAGAGGCGATCACGGGTGAGTACTCCTCTCAGTGGCAGAGAGCCATGGATGCAGCGATGGCTTCTTGGAAGTCCACAGGCACCTACGTCAACGAGGTTCCCCCTCCTGGGGCGAACATAATCGATGGCATGTGGATATTCGGAGGTTCTCCGCCTGCCTTCAAGGCGCGTTACGTTGCTCGAGGCTTCAGTCAGCGACAGGGGGTCGACTTCTTCCAGACCTTCTCCCCCACCCCAAAGATGACTACTCTTTGGGTGTTGCTGCACGTTGCAGCACAACGTGACTACGAGCTGCACTCCCTCGACTTCTCCACAGCTTTCTTGCAGGGAAGCCTTCACGAGGAGATCTGGCTGCGCCGCCCACTTGGCTTCACTGGGTCGTTTCCAGAGGGTACCCACTGGAGCCTCCGGCGGCCAGTCTACGGTCTCCGCCAGGCACCCCGCGAGTGGCACGACACACTGAAGACGACACTTGCAGCTCTTGGGTTTGCTCCTTCCACTGTTGACCCGTCGCGGTTTCTGCGCACCGACCCTACTCTGCCGCCGTTCTACATCCTCGTATACGTCGACGACTTGGTCTTTGCTACTGCCGACAGTGAGGCGCTGACCCTTGTGAAGGCGGAGCTGCAGAAGAGACACACTTGCACTGACCTGGGTGAGCTGCGTAGCTATCTTGGCTTGCATATCACCCGGAACAGAACACGGTGCACCATCTCTCTGACTCAGTCACACATGGTGCACCACGTCCTTCAGCGCTTCCTCTTTCGGTTCTCCTCGCCACAGCCCACTCCTCTGCCTTCAGGCCACTCGCTCTCAGCTCCACCTTCGGACGAGTCCGTAGAGCCGAGTGGCTCGTATCCAGAGCTTGTGGGCTGCCTCATGTACCTGATGACGTGCACACAACCTGACCTCGCGTACCCTCTCAGCATCCTTGCTCGCTTCGTCGACCCCGGGAGACACAGGAAGGAGCACTGGACAGCTGCGCAGATGGTACTGCGTTACTTGTGCAGTACATCGAGCATGGGGCTTGTGCTTGGAGGACGGGGTCCAGTGGTACTCACAGGACACTCCGACGCTTCTTCGGCTGACGACCAGGCGACTCAGCGGTAGTCCTAGGGCTATTCTTTCAGTCTCGGCTCTGGTTCTGTCTCGTGGTGGTCCACTCATTCGTCTTCTGTGCTTGGTTTCAGCTGTGAGGCCGAGATCTACACTGGGACCACCTGGCTGGCTGGCCTACCTGTTGACCGACTTGGGTGAGCGGCCTCGTTCTCCTCCAGTTCTGTACGTTGACAACAAGGCCTTGATTGCCTTGTGTCAGGAGCGGAGACTGGAGCACAGAACGAAGCACATTGATCTTCGCTACTTTCTTGCTCGTGAGCTGCAGCAGCGTGGTCAGCTGCGCCTTGCTTACGTGGCCTCTCGGGCCAACACTGCTGATGTCTTCACCAAGGCCCTTGGGTCTGGTGATCATCAGCGTTTCTGCACTGCTCTAGGCCTTGTGCCTACTTTGCCTCACCTGTTGGTTGCTTGACTTGTATTGTACTGTGATATATATATATACACACACACCTGCATGCTTGTTCTCGCTAGGTTGTGATCACTGTACTGCTTGTGCTTTTATAACTTTGCATGTGAACTGGCCTTGTGGCCGCTTGCTTGTGCTCAGAATGCGTGGTGAACTTGAGATCCACCCTGAGCTTTGCTTTGCTTTGTTCTCTTGCTTTACTGGTCTTGTGACCGTCCGTTGTGTTTGCTATCCCCCACTTTGCCTATGGGGGTGTGTCAAATTGTATTTTATCTCTGTAGGTTGTAGTGGGGCGTACCCTAAAGGGTACAACACTTTAGGGTTAGGTATTGTACTCACTCTTCCTACCTAGTCCATCATTCGTACGTTCCTACTTCTGACACATGACTGTACGTGCTTGCGAGAGAGCACGAGGGCAGCGGCTCCTAGTACGCTGAGAGAGGGCTGTCTCTTCGAGTGAAAATTCAAAAGTTTGAGAGTGCTAGTTGTGGAAAAGCGCGGAGTCCGATCCGAATGGAAAGTACCTATAATACTAAGGGTTACTGGTGCAATTGAAAGTGAGAGCGATGATTGCAATAAAGAATCAAACGAATACGATGAAACCGAAGGCATGGGCGAACATTTATTTCAAACAAGCAAAATGATAACGCGATGCGTGCGAGTGCGATGCTGGCAACGAGGCTTGGGCTAGTCCCGAAACATAGGTTGACTCGGCCAAGTCCAGCGTGCGTGGGTTGGTGAATGTTACGCGCGAAATGGTGAACATCATTAAAGCTGTAACGTGCAAAGAAATGTGAGCGGTATACACGATATGGTGATGCGCGACAAGGAATCGGAGAAACTTCCTAACAATTTGTCACGTGAAGTAGAAATGATGTGAAAATGGACTTGGAAAATAGAATTTGATCCTTTTTTTTATAAGCCGTTGGATATATATTGATCGAATTGAGTACGCTGTGCTCCAATATATCGGGTCAACCGCCATGCCGTTTGAATGAAACTGTTCAGGCAGTGAATTTGCCCTTTTCCGCCAAAAAGGCCGGCCACCAGCCAATAAGCGAGCTCACCCTTTGCTTTTCACCCTTTGGTCAACATCGTGGTCAGACTCTGAACAACTCCCCGGGTTTCACTCCACGAACTCCCTCGCTGACCGTGCCTCCCTCCCTGCAAAACCAAACGCGCCGCATTTCGAAAATTCGTCTTGGCCGCTCCGGCCGCTCCCTCCAACGATCTTCCGGCATCCCTCCCACGATTCCCTCCATTGCTTGTGCACACAAGCTGAAACATCAAGGGTATAAGTTCAGGCTACTTTGATTGCTTATCATCAGTCAGTATCCGTTCTAATATTTCTCCCCTATCGACTGCTCGCCTAATCGACCAGCGAAATCTCTCGATAGACGACTGGCCTCAGTTTCAGATACCTGATTTGCTTTAGCATGGCGTCTGCCAAGGTCGTCGCGCCCATCGTGGCAGCGTGCGCGTTGATCGGAGTGCTGCTCGTGGCAGCCCCATGGCATGTGCAGAGTGCTGCGATTGCCTCTGAAGGTACGCACTCTCTTCATGTTTTTTCTTGCCTTCCACCCCGTGTTTGGTGGGATTCTGTCAGCGACGTGTAACTGCTGCACTTCGCAACCATTTCGCCGGTCATTCACACTTTGCTAATCCAATCGTCTGATCCGTTGAGTCGTTTCAGGTGGCGACGCTTTGTCCGGAAATGAATTCCCCTCGGCCTTCAGCCATGGCCGCGTGCTCAAGCACAAGAGCTCCGATACAAGCAGCTCCGGCTCTACTAGCAGCTCTGGCTCTACTAGCAACTCCGGCACTAGCAACAAGAAGTCGAAGAAGAGCGACTCGACTTCGTCAGGCTCGACCCCCTCCCCGTCTCCCGCGAAGAAGTCGAAGAAGGGCTCGAGCGCGCCCGCCGCTTCCCCTCCCCCTCCTACCAAGTCGGGGAAGAAGGGTAAGAGCTCCAACGTTCCCGCCTCTCCCCCGCCGCCAACCACCACCGGAAAGAAGGGGAAGAAGGGCGGAAGCAGCGGTACCACCACTCCCGCCACTCCCGCCACTCCCCCGCCAACCACCACCGGAAAGAAGGGCGGACACCGCAACAACGGCGGCGCCCCTGCCACGCCCACCCCTGTTCCCGTCCCCGCGCCTGCTACGAGCGGAAAGGGCGGAAAGAAGGGCAAGAACAACGCGGGTGCGGGTGGTGGCGGGTCCGCGCCCGTGGTGGTGAGCAAGGCGGACCAGAAGATCCAGTCGCAGCTCACGACGGCCGCGAGCGGAGTGCAGAAGGCGGCGGACACGCTGGGCGCGAAGAACACGTACTACGCGAGCCTCACCGCCACCGTGCAGGCGCTCACGAACGCGGGCATTCTGATCGACGAGGGGCAGCGCACGCTCGTGCAGGGGCAGATCGCCAACGCCGTTTCCACCATCGACGGCGTCTCCGTTATGCTCGACCCCGTTAACGATAAGAAGGTGCTCTCGCAGCTGGCGTCCGCTAAGGCCACCGCCGAGGCCGCTTCGAAGGCCTTCAAGCCGTAGTGTGACCGCAGAAGCATATTCGTGTGAACACACCTAGCGACGTCGAAAAGCGTAGCGGCCTTTGAAGCGTACCGGTAGTGGCGCCAGACTTTGAACCATCTTCCTGACATAGGAACGCCGTGCAGTAAGCATAGTAGTTCATGTATTCGCGCTATAATTAATGAATAAAGCACATGATCGCTACTTTCTTTTTAAAACCGTGTGTGATCGCCGTACGGGCCTGCTGTCTGCCCTTTTCGATATGGCTACATCGGTAGAATCATGGTATGCTTGTACGCACGGGCTCTCCCTCCCGCATCTCAATCAATGGCTGCACGTTCCTGAGACACTAGAAGTCACAGAGATGGCATCAGGGTGTCTCACAGCCTGAACAAGTCTTGAACGTACAAGCAGTGAGACGGCCTTGATCATGTGAAACGGCCCTCAGATACGGTACTTGCACCCCTGTATGCCTCATTAGTCATCTCATCATTATTTCAGTTCTAATTCTGACAGACGAACCTTACAAGGTTGGTGATACGTACATGACAGCCTCAACCGTACATACGTACATCGAAATAAGCTGGAACCAGACATTCCTAGCAGTCATCGCTTCATGAAGTAGATACCACCGTAGAACTTGTTTTTATCTGTATAAATATTGTTATCACCCGAAAGGTCCTGTTACAACAACCCTCTTCCCCCTTTAGTAGGCGAGCTGGGCCTCCTCCCATTCTCGCCATACTCCACATCCCCCTTCCCCTCCTCCCCCATCCCTACTCCCACACCCTCCTCTCCCTTCTGCACCGGCAGCAGCGGCAACCCCTCCTTCCCTCCCTTGCTCTCCTTCGCCCCCTTCTCCCCCTTCTCTTTCTCAACAGCCCAGCTATACAGCAGCATGCCAACAATAGCCATGAGCATGCCACTGAAGTTCTTGAGAGTAAATGGATCCTTGAAGACAGTCCAGCCGAGAATGAGCACCACCACCGTCTTCATGTGCCCCAGCACCTGGAACGACGTTGCCGAGAACTTTCCGATGCACAGGTAGACGGAGAGGTTGCAGCCGATGGCAAAGGCGCACGAGAGGAAGATGAAGAGCTGGCGTGGGGTGGGGTGGAGAGGAGTGGAGGTGGATAAGGGGGAGATGTGGAAAGGGAAGCAAAACATAAGAGACAAAGGTCAAAGGGGTTCGATGGCGAAGGCACAGGAGAGGAATATGAAGAGCTGGAGTGGGGAGGGGTGGGAAAGGGTGGAGGGGGATAAGAAGGGGAAAATGATGTGAAACATATGAGAGGTCAATGGGGGTTGACAGCAAAGACACAGCAGAGGAAGATGAACAAGTGGAGATGGGAAGGGGTGAGGAGTGTCGAGGGAGGAGGGAGGAGGGCGAAGGGAGAGCAAGAGGGGAGCCGGCGAAGGGTTGGGAAATGGGGTTTGAGGAAAGGGGGAACATGAGCACAGGACAAGGACTGATTCTGGTAAACGGGGAGCAGGTGGTAAATGCGATCTTGGCACTCACTGCAGCGTTGCTGGTGACGGGGAACTCAAGAAGGTTCTGCGAGGTGAGGAGGTAGTCGAGGAAGGGCCCGACCACCACAAGGGTCACGGCCTGGATGGGCGCTGTCTGCCTGAGCAGGTCGAACGACCCCACGTTGTGCTTCCTCTGCAGCTCGCCCACGAACTGAGGCGGCACGAGGGACACAGATGGGTGGGAAAGAGAAGAGGCACTAAGAGCACAGATGGGATATGAAGAGAAACACAAGCGTGCGGAGGGAAGGCCTGTCACAGCAGGTCACTGGGCCCCACATGCTTTTTCTGCAGCTCACCCACGAACCGAGGAGGGAAGACGCACTAAGCGCTCGGGTGCTAAGTGCTCAGGTGATAGGTGCTCGTGTGCTAAGTGCTCGGGTGCTAAGTGACGTAGAGACCACCGCCACGGATGCAGTGATGAGCCCAAACGCGTTCATAGGCTACCTCTGTTGAATGAAGAACACTCACAATCTGCTGCAGTGACGTAGAGACCACCGCCACGGATGCAGTGATGAGCCCAAACGCGTTCATAGGCTACCTCTGTTGAATGAAGAACACTCACAATCTGCTGCAGTGACGTAGAGACCACCGCCACGGATGCAGTGATGAGCCCAAACGCGTTAACAGAGATGTCAGTGACGGTGCACACGCCCACCCCCAGCATCACTGCCAGCACAGAGAGCTTGACTTCCTTGGAGTAGGCCTTGGCGTGCAGCAGCGTCTCACACAGACAGGTCACTGGGATGATGGCGAGCTTGGATATCTGATGGGGGGAGGGGGAGAAGCCAGAGGTGGGGGGGAAGGTAGGGAAAGGTAGGAAGGCAGGGGCAGGGGGAGGGGACAGATGGGACTTAGACCCCCTCTTCCAGAACATGGGAGGGGAAGGGGACGTGGGTGGGGAGGGGGTTAAAAGGTAGTGTGGTGTGGAGGGTATGACTTGTGCAACTTCCTGGAATTCGCGTTTGCGGTTGGGAGAATCCAATACAATCTTGTTGTCGGCATGTTCAGAGCCTAGAAGAATCCAAGCAAGTAACTGGAAAGTTGGCGAAATAGGATTTCTAGATAGGTGAGAAGAGGGAGGAGGTAGGACGGAAGAGAAGAGCGTACCTGGGGAGGGCGGGGATTGGGGCATGTGAATTTTCTTCCTCTTCGTAATCTTGTGTTATATGTGCTCTTAATTTTGCTAGTTTCACAACCATTAACCTGCCAAAACCCCTCTCCTCTCTCGCTCTCTCGCCCCATCCTCTCTCACCCTCTCCCCCACTCTCGCACCTGGTAGAACCCAACCGAGTTAGACATGAGAGAAAGGTTCATGCCAACGATGGAGAGGTTGGCGAGCATGCCGAACCACACAATGTCCCACAGAGGGATGTTGGCCGTCCCCGACAGGTACCCCAGCCACACGCACAGCGCCCCGAACAGGCCCGTGAACGTCAGGTGGAAACCGGTCAGTGTGGTGGCTGGTTGGGGGGGAGGAGAGAAGGGAAGGGGGCGGGGGGTGGAGGAGGGGGAGGGGCGGGAAGGAGGAAAAAGGTGAGGTTTTGTGTGTCCCACAGAAGGATGTTGGCCTGCCCCGACAGGTACCCCAGCCACACGCACAGGGCGCCAAACAGCCCCGTGAACGTGAGGTGGAAACCGGTCAGTGTGGTGGCTGGTTGGGTGGGTGGGTGGAGGAGGGGGAGGGAGAGAGACGGGAGGGAGGAAAGGAGCGAGTTCATGTGTGTCCCACAGAGGGATGTTGGCCTGTCTTGACAGGTACCCAAGCCACACGCACAGCGCCCCGAACAGCCCGGTGAACGTGAGGTGGAAACCCGTTAGGGTGGTGGCTGGTGGGGGGGGAGTGGAGGGGGTGTGTGTTCGCGAGGGGCGGGAGGGAGCACCGGGAATGAGGAAAGGAGCGCGTTTATGTCTGTCCCACAGAGGTTTGTTGGCTTGGCCCGAAAGGTACCCCATCCACATGCACATGGCACCGAACAGTGCCGTGAACGAGAGGTAGAAGGCCGTTACGGTGGTTGGGCGGGGGGTATAACGCCTGCGGGCTTACACGAAGGGTTGAAAGGCCCCTGCTGCGCCTCAAATATAACCCCCGTGTTGACCCAATGGGTAACGGGGCGTTATAGGTGGGGAGGGGAGTGTTGAGAGAGACGGGGAAAGGAGGGACGGACGGAACACGAGTCTCTACGAATCTCATTCTGAGATGTGGGCCTACTTTGACGCGTGCCCCAGTCACACGAACGTGAGGTGAAAGCACGTTTGGGTGGTGGCTGGTTGTGGGTGGAGGCAATGCCGGGGAGGGGTGCGGGGGGAGTTGAAGAGAAATGGGAACGAGGGGAGGGGGAAGCGTGGAGAGGAGGGAACGCGGATCCTTGTATTTCCACAGGGGGATGCCCTGGCAGGTACCACAGGGGATATGCTGGGCAGATGGGTGTGAGGAGGGGGTGTGAAGAGGTGGGTGTGAGAAGGTGGGTGTGAAGAGGAGCGTGTGAGCGCGAGCTTTGTCGCACCCACTACCGAATATGTAAATGAGCAACGCTGCTGCTCCGCGAACCCCACGTAAACCGCACCATTAGTTGACTGCCGGCGTAAACGCGCTCGGTAGGGTGAGTTCAAGACGTATCGGATTTTAGACGTTCCGAGGTCAAGTCAGCATTACATGACGAGCCGAATAGGGAAGGTGCGACGCATTGACGACGACTGAGCGACGCATTGACGACGACTGAGCGACGCATTGACGACGACTGAGCGACGCATTGACGACGACTGAGCGACGCATTGACGACGATTGAGCGACGCATTGAGGACGATTGAGCGACGCATTGAGGACGAGGCGGTAGGAGGACATGACGACCATGCTGATTTTGATGAGCCTCACGCCGTAGAAAATGCACCTGATAGAGGTACACAGTCAAAATGCACTTGGAATCAAGACGTACTGGACTTGAAAACAGTGGGGGACATGACGACCTTGTTGATCACAGTGAGCCCAACGCCGAAGACGCCGCATCTACATCATCAAAATGCCGTCGTAAACGCACTTGATAGAGCGATTCAGAAAGTACCAGAGTAAACAACGCACCGAAGAGGAAGCGATAGGAGGACATGACGACCTTGTTGATCATGATGAGCCCCACGGAGCTCACGATGTTCATCGCCCATGCCCCTCCCGGCGATATCGCCTGCGGATTGTTGAACATCGCGAATCGCTTGTTGCGACTAGCTGACGGCGAATAGCTGACTGCGAGTGGCTCAATGCGAGTGGATGCGAGTGCTTAGTTGGCGAATTATCCTCTGCGAGGTCGTGGTTGACTGCGAATTCTCGATTCTCGGCGAGACGCAAAGTCGTCGCATTCGCAGTAAGATGGGACTGGAAAAGACGTGATTTTAAGTGCACAAGCCGTTCTGGACTCAGCTGTCAGCACGACGTTCGTCAGAGACTCCCAGAACGGAGACTAGACGGCAACGATTGAATGCACATGAGACGCCCTGCTGCCTCAGCAGCACATCACAGCAATTGATCCGAATCTCAAGTTTCTGCTATGCAGTCCTCTCGCACCAACCTCGCAGCAGCAATGGCGATGGCAGGAATCGCGGTGGGTGGGTGAGACGTGAGGCGTGCAGGCCGACAGGCACACTCAGAAATACAATCGTGAGTGTGGGAGGGTCAAGTGCGGTGGAGTACCCAAACCAACCACACGTGTTTCCGAGCGTGAAGTTTGGCTTCAAAGTTCACAAAGCGCTTCACCAATCACATAAAGACCGAACCTTCTTATGTGGTTCAATTTCATCTCCTGAACCAGGGAGAGCGAACCTGGTGGATCACTTTGGTCATGTGGGAGCTCGAAGGCTGCTCCTGGATTTTGCGAAGCCCCGCAAGCCTGATGCTCAGCTTTGGCGCGGTTCGCACAGCCTTGTTGATCGGTGTGGGTGCAGCTATAGGGGCTCCCACGCGTATGGGCTCGTTGAGGTTGGTCAGTCAGATCTGTGAAACTGACACATATCGATTCGTACAGGACAAATGGCTTTTCTAGTTATGTGTCAGGAACTCGAAATTCAGTTCCATAACCAAACGAACGCCCAAATTTTGAATCTAGGCCACACCCATGGATCACCCAAAGTCAGACTGCCTTTGTCTTACTGACCTGACCACGGTATCTTGAAATAGTGAAATTAAAAAAACAAACAATGTGATAAAAAACTAACTCAGTAAAATGGGGGAGCACGGGGGAGGTGTGGGAGTATTGCGGGCTGTGTGGAAGATGGAGCCACAACATCCATGAGCATTTGAGAGACAAGACAAGCAAAAGCTATCAAATAAACAGGAAAGTGTAACACATTCAGCCCACCAGCCTCCATGCTTGAAACCAGGACCCATGCCTCATTTATTTCCTCTTGGTTTCTCATGCATACTGACACAAGCACAGCCTACTTGCAAACCACTCGCATACCAACGAGATCTGGCAGCACCGTTGCACTGCAACCGGGTGCTGATACAGGGGAAAAGGAGACCCCACCATGGTAACGTTGCACTGCCAACGGGTGCTAGCTAATACGGAGTTTTCCCAACCATGTTGCCCTGCGGCGAGTAGTCGCGAACCCACATGCCCCCCCCATCTGCACACTTGGCCGCAGCGCACCCAACACGCTTGGTACCCCGCCACACCACCTGCGTGTAGTGCCCACACATCTTGCCGCCCACACACCCCTTCGGCACGTCATTGTATTTCCAGTATGCCTTCTCCGCCATCCACGACCGCACCGCCGCCCGGTCGTCGCCACTGTTCAGCTGCGCAGGGCGCTTCCAGTACAGGTTCTGCCCAAGCCCGTTTGCGCCTCCGTGCTTAATTTTGCATCCCTTGGAGGCGAGCTCATCCGCTCACTGCTTCGCTGTTGCTGCTACACTGTCGTCCCATGAGAGGTCCGCCACACCCACTGCCCGCCGCGCCTTGTTGTGCTCCTCCAAAATTGCCGCCTTGTCCATTATGCTGCTGCCGCCACCGCTGCTGCGGCCGCAACCGCTGCTGCCGGCGCCACCTGTCTTGCTGCTGCCGGCGCCACCTGTCTTGCGTCTGCCACCGGTGGTGCGGCCACAACGTTACTCCCGCCGCCGCCTCGTCACCACTGGTGCTCCCTTGAGCTGCCTGGGAGTGGAGGCAAGCAACAGCAGCAGCTTGCGAGGTGCAGTGGTGGGATGTGAGTGGGTGGTACTGCTGGCGGCTATGAAGTCAGCAGCAGGTGTTGCTTCAGTGGGTGTGACGTCAGCGAGAGCTGGCACAGCAAGTGCCAAGGTGAGCATTGCGAATACTGGAGAAGAGGGTGGTATATGGATGGGAGGAAATGGAAGGACAAGCAAGGGAATCATGGGGAGAGAATATGAGAGAAGAGAAGGAGGGAAGAGAATGAGAATGGGAAGAACAGGAGAGGAAAGCGAACAGGCGTGGAAAGAACAGGAGAGGGAATAAAAGAAGAAAGCAGAGCAGAAAGAAGAGCAGGAAGAAGAGGAAAGGGACCAACAGGAGAGAACATAACCGACGGGGGATGAACAGGAAGAACAGGAGGGGAGAGGAGAGGAGAGGGAGGAGAGGGAAGAGCAAGAGAGGAGAGGGAAGAGTAGCAGAAATGAGGAAAGTGCAGGAGAGAAAAGTGAAGAGCAGGAGAGAAAAGAGAACGGCAGGAGAGAAAACAGAACAGAGAGAGAAAAGAGAAGAGCAGGGGTGAAAAGAGAAGAGAAGGGGAGAAAAGAGAAGAGCAGGAGGAAAGAGAAGAGCAGGAGGAGAGGAAAGCGCAGGGTTGGAGAGGGAAGCGTGTCAAACTTATATGACATAGTCTGTTTAGGCTGTAGTGGGGTAGACCATATGGGGTACAACACATTTAGGGTTTCCTACTTGTACCCACCTGCTTGCTAGTTCATTCATTCCTCGTTCTATCTTTCACATGGTTTCAGAGCAGTTTCCCTAGTGGGAACGTTTTTTTTAAGGGCCCACCACGATCGTTATTTTTTTTTCCTGCCCTGCCCGAAGCGCGCCTCGCGCCTGCCTCACTTGCGCCGTCGCGCGCCCTGCCCTACTGCCGCCCGTAGCGGCCCTGCCCTCTCGGCCCGTCACGGCCCTGCCCTAACGGCCCGTCGCGGCCCTGACCTAGCCGCCCGTCGCGGCCCTGCCCTGTCGCCGCCCGTCGCGGCCTGACCTAGCCGCCCGTCGCGGCCTGACCTAGCCGCCCGTCGCGGCCCTGCCCTGCCGCCCGCCGTTGCGGCCCTGACCTCGCCGCCCGTCGCGGCCCTGCCCTGCCGCCACCCGTCGCGGCCCTGCCCCCAGCCGCTCGTCGCGGCCCTGCTCTACTGCCGCCCCGTCGCGGCCCTGCCCTGCTGCCGCCCCGTCGCGGCCCTGCTCTGCCGCCGCCTCGTCGCGGCCCTGCCCTACAGCCGCCCCGTTGCGGCCCTGACCTAACCGCCCATCGCGGCCCTGCCCTGCACCCGCCCCTGGTAAGCGCCCCTGCTGCCCGTCGCGTCACGCGCCCCTGCTGCCCGCCGCGCCGTGCGCCCCTGCAGCCCGTCCCGTCGCGCACCCCTGCAGCCCGTCGCGTCGCGCGCCCCTGCAGCCCGTCGCGTCGCCCGTCGGCCCTGCCTGTGCCCGTCGCGTCGTTAGAGCGGGCTGCCCCAGCCCGCCGCGACGCCCGTCCGCCCTGCCTGCCTGCGCGCCGCCCCTGCCCGCCCCGCGTCGCGCCGCCCCGTGCAAGCCGCCCGCGCGCAGACCCTTGCAGCCCGCGCGCCGCCCGTCTGCAGCCCGCGAGCCTCCCCTGCAGCCCGCGAACCGCCCCTGCAGCCAGCGCGCCTGCCTCTTGCAGCCAGCGCACTGCCCCTACAGCCCGCGAGCCACCCCTGCAGCCCGCGAGCCGCCTCTGCAGCGCCCAGTGCGCCCTGCCAAACCCTATAAAAAAAAAAAAAAAAAAAAAAAAAAAAAAAAAGAGCAGCCCTAGGTGCTGCTGCCCTAGGAGCTACTGCTTGCTGCTGCCTGCTACTGCCCTGCTCTGGCCGCACGCCGCCCTTCTGGCCGCGCGCCGCCTTTTCCTGACAGTGCGCCACCTCGACCTACCCTAGTGCCTGTTCGCCGCCCTGCCTTTCCACTATGACGTCTCTTCGTGGGAGCAGTGGGAGTGGTGGTGGCGGTGGTGGCAGCAGTGGGAGTGGTGGCGGCGGCCGCAGTGGCAGTCTAGGCGGAGCTGCTCGGTGGGGAGGTTCTGGCGGTGGCCAGATACAGCTCCAGCGACGTCCGCGCGAGACCCTTACGCCTCTGCAGCTGCGTGAGTGGTACGCTCAGAGTAGAGGGTCTCGGAGTACTGCTCGCTGCCCGTACGTCATTCGCACAGGTGATCGGGCTGGTCAGACTTGCGGGACGATAGGTCACACACAGTCCCGCTGCTTCGCCGGTCTGAGCGACGCCTGGCGTACAGAGTTTGGTGACGCGGCTGAGCTCCCCAGCTGGGTGGAGCTGCTGAGGCAGAGAGTGGATATCTTTCCTCTGGCCTTTGATGCTATTCTATCTGCCATGTATGCATTGCCTATTAGTGCTGAGGGTGACTGTTACCTGTGTACGCTGCCGGACCCAGGTATAGAGTCTGCTGCCTCAGGTGCTGGTGAGGCTGCTGCTCTAGGTGATAGTGAGGCTGCTGCTCAAGGTGCTAGTGAGTCTGCTGCTCCAGGTGCTGGTGAGTCTACTCTCTCTGGTACTGCGCCTGCTGAGGCCTTGCACACCTTCACACTTGACTCAGGTGCTTCCCGCTCCTTCTTTCGCGACAGCACCACACTCACGCCGCTCAGTCGGCCGGTTGCAGTCTCCCTGGCGGACCCCTCTGGGGGCCCGGTCCTTGCGCACTCCTTCACGGTTCTGCCGTGTCCGGCAGTTCCGTCTGGCTCACTGTCAGGTCTTCACCTCCCCTCGTTCTCTACGAACTTGGTGAGTGGAGCTGACCTCCAGGATGTGTGGGTTGACCAGTTCACTCCTGGAGGTCAGCGTGTGACCCCACTGTACGTGCTCCCGGACTGGTCGGCACCTGGCCACGTTCACCCGAGCGCCTGGCTCGAGTATGTACACACTGACCAGTGTGTCCCCTCAGGTAGCTGCGTCTGCGTCTGCGTTTGCGTCAGGTCAGCTAGCGGCCCCCTGCTCGTGTCGCGCTCTGTCGCACCAGACCGTCCTTT